AACATTGAAAACAAATTTATTGCTTGCTTTTTTTTATTATCTTTCAATTCATCGATTTTCCAGAATTTAATTTCTCCCACAAAAAAACTAATCAATCAAAGAAACAAATAAATTCCACAAAACAAAAATTAATTTCACATTAAATTTTGTAAAAATACTTAATTAAATAAAAAAAAATACAGCATGCCTTTCCCCACTTCAAATTTAATTATTTTTCTTAATTATTATTTGAATTTATTTACTTTCTTTTTTATATTATTTGATTTATTTATTTATTTTCTTTTATTAATTTATTTTCATCTATCTTAATTCATTGATTTATTTGTTTTATTTGTTTGCTAAGTTTTCTTATTTGTTTTATTTCTTAGTTTGTTTTTTTCTTTGTTTATTTGCTTGTTTGTTTATTTGTTGCTTATGTGTTTTTCTGTTTAGTTTTTAAGTTTGCTTTAATATTTTCTTAGTTGTTTAAGATGATTTATTTGTTTAATTTCTTTCATTTATTTATTTATTTTATTTATTTTTAATGATTTATTTTATTTTGTTTTTTCTTTTTTCTTTCTCTTTTTGGTTTGAGTCTCTCGTCTGGGTGGTTTCCTATGGTTCAAAAAATACTTTTTATATAGTTCAGGTGCTAAGAGAGAACCATTTAGATCCGCTTGATGTCAACAGAGGACTGAGTGAGAGTGTTTTTTGAGTGAGGAGTTGCATTCTTTTTTATTCTTCCATTAATTATCTTTATTCTTCCTCGAATTTTTTAGCTTGCTTTTATAAAGCTTGCTATGCATGCTTATATAGCCTAACCAGTCGAATAAGACGTACAACTCTAACTATTCTACCTGCTCTTGTTCCTAATATTTTTAATTATTTCGTATAAGTAAGTATCTATCTCAATTAGATGAGAGTATAATTTATAAAATATAATCTCAGTATATCAATTTTACATATACTTGTTTTATTTTTAATAGTTGCTATTTTATTTCACTAATAAGTTTTTAAATAAATCCATAAAATATTTTCCTAAAACATCTATCGAAGATTAATTAATAAATAAATAAATTATTACCTACACGAGATGCTCTACTTGCTTTTGCAAGAGATGCAACACTTCCTCCTTTACCTTTTCCTGTCTGGAATATCAGATTTGAGATCCATCCAATGTCCAAAATTAATGACACTGTAGATAAGAAATCTAGCCAAAAGAAGAAACCCAAAAAATATCCAGGCTATTTTAATATTTTTTTAAAAAAATATGAAAAGCGATATATGTATGTTAGATTTAATAATTCATGTATTTATTTATTTATTTTTAAAAAATAAAAATCCCTCCTTTTCATTTATACTTATTTTTATTTAAAAACGAATTGAAAATTGTAAAGCATCAAATAACTCTTTAGATTAATTTTAAACTGAAATTTGTTTTCTTTTTAAATAATTGTCAATTAAATTTGGGTTTTTAAGAAACTAATAACAACTTATTCAAAATATTTTTTATATTACTATTAATCAATTAATTAATTTTAAGTAGATTTTTGTAAA